TGGAGCCCACCAGCATCCTTATCAGATGCTCAGGCCTTGGTGCTGGACTGCAGCTCAGTAGTAGAGTGTTTGCATGAGACTCCACTCCCAGCATAACAACAACAACAAAAAAAAGCCTGCCTCGTGTAAATAATGCTAGTGACGGTTTTCTGCTTTAGCTCAGTTCTGGGAAACAGGAATAGGGGTGAGCTCTTCTGTGCAAAGACTTGTGAAGACGAACACTAGGGATCAAGTTTGCACTAGATCAAGCCTTGACTCTGAAACCAGCTGGCACCCAGGGAGTGAGCCCACTTCCCTGTGGCCTGAGCTCCATGCTGACCTCTGACCTCACAGGAGGTGGGAACCCATGTGGTCTTTACACGAATGAGAAAACTGAGCCTGCCCAGCTCAACCCCTCAGTCCCCATTCAAATGACAGTGGGCATTCAAACCCAGGATCACCAGGCCACTCCTCGAGGCCTGTGGAGTTGGTGGCATCAGGATGGGGCCAGTGTTTAGCAGGGCTGGCTCATCTGACTTCTGGCTGAAGCTCACTAGAGACCCAAGTTCACATAGAACCCGCCACTGTGGCTGGGGGGAGGGGGGTGGTGGAGAGAAACTACTTCTAAGACTTGCTGTCTTACTAGGCTCATGCCCCTATAATTCTAGCTACTTAGAGGCTGGGATCAAGGGTCATGGCCAAAGTCCACAAGATTCTTTTTTTTTTTGGGGTCCAGCCGTGGGGCCTAAACTCTGGGCCTGGGCGCTGTCCCTCAGCTCTTCAGCTCAAGGCTAGTGTTCTACCACTTGAGCCACAGCGCCACTTCCGGCTTTTTTCTTTCTGCTTATGTGGTGCTGAGGAATCAAACCCAGGGCCTCAGGCATGCAAGGCAAGCACTCTACCACTGAGCCACCTTCCCAGCCCATCCACAAGATTCTTAATGCCAATTTACCAGTAAAAAGCCAGGTGTGGAATGTGGCTCAAATGGCAAAGTGCCAAACTTGAGCAAAAACCTAAGGGAGAGCATCCAGGCCTTGAATTCAAGCCCCAGTGTCCTGTAAGCACACACATGCACATGCGTGCGTGCATGCACGCGCATGCGTGCACACACACACACACACACACACACACACAGCCTGTCTTTAGTTGAACTGTGTGCTGATTTCTCAGGAGCTCAGAGCTTTGGCTTTATCCTTCTTCCTTTCTCTTCCTCCTCGTGAATGGACAGGAAATTGAGTACCCCCCTCCTCTTTTATTTTTTTTGGTTGTGGGGCTTGAACTCTGGGCTGGGGCTCTGTCCCTCAGTTCTTCAGCTCAAGGCAAGCACTCTACTTCTTGAGCCAGAGTGCCACTTCCGGTTTTCTAGTGATTTATTGGAGATAAGTCTCAGGGACTTTCTTGCCCAGGCTGGCTTTGAACTGTGATCCTCAGATCTCAGCCTCCTGAGTAACTAGGATTACGGGCAGGAGCCACCGGCACCCAGCTCTCCTTCCTCTTTACTAGAAGTGCCCCAGCTCAATGATGAGGGGCAGCCTGATAAATGACCATATGCAGTCACAGACAGGGCTCTGAGGTGAGTATGGTAGAGGCCAGGCCATATGCCTGTTCTCTGACAAAGACACAGAGGAGCCATGGTGCCCAGAAGCCAAAAGCTTGACTGTACTACAAATGTGACTGAGACACTCTCCGGTCCCCACGGAGCCCCAGGGACATTTGCTGCCTTGCTCTCCAGGTGCCCTGACCCCTATAGCCCTGTTGGGTCTGGTCTCCCTCAGAGGGTGGGACTCCTGGATTTAGAGGCTAGGGCAAAAGCCTCCCAGATAGGGTGCTCCCCTCCCTCCTCATCCCCCCCTACCCCCAAGAGGGAGCAGGCCTTACTCTGAGCCCCAGGAGCTCTCTAGGAGCTCAGCAGAGATTGGCCCAGCCCTGGTGGAAGGACTCCAGGTTGTTCCCCAGAATAGGGAACCTAAGGAGTAAAAGCCCTTGGCCCTGAGGCAAGAAATGAGTCAGCACTGGGCGAGGCCCCAATTTAGGGTTCCAGACTTGGGTCACCAAGCTCCACCCCCAAACTACCGATTTTGGGCCCTGGTGACACTTTGAGATATCCATTCCACAACCATCTCGTCTCATGTAGGGGAGGGGGTTCAGGATAAAGACATTAAGACATAGGGCTCTCACGGGAAGGGGCCTTAGAAATCAGGCTGTAGCAAAATGTGAACTAAGGACCAGTGGGTGGAGCCTTGTGGCCCAGCCCCTTACCTAGCACATGCTGGGCTGGGGTTAGATCCCCACTAGAAAAATAATAATAATAAGGGTGGGGGAGAATATGATCTGCCCAGAGCCATACATTCTGGCAAACACTAGTAAAATGAGAGGTGTCTGTAAGGAAATGGAATTAGTCAACCCACTTAGAACTGGGTAAAATAACATGAACTAAAATTCTGTTCTTAACAAACACTGGGAATTAGTCAGGGAAGGGGGGAGGTTGGCCTACAAAACTGCATGGATTATGCATGCCCAGGTCCCAAAGGCAGGCCCCAGCAGCAACGTGACAGGTAGAGACACACCCAGGCCTAAAGGATTATAGGTCAGGTTATATCAAGGGTGCACTTAAGACCTCAAATCCTTCCCCACAGTCTGGGTCTTAGAGCTCACCAGAAAATTTCAGGTAGGTATTCAAGCTTCCAGTTCTTCACCTGGTTAATTTCCTCTGATTATCCATCCCACGTGGCAGGAAAGCTTTGGAGCCAAGCCCACAAGAGCAGGGGAAATGAACTGTCCCTTTTACTGAAGCCCCATCCCCTTTAGTTCCAGGAGTCCAAAAGACAGCAGCAAGTACTCCACCCTTGGACAGCCAAGTTTCCATTCTACCAGGAGGTCCTGGCTTGATTGTCCGTGACCCTAAAGGTCAACCCCAGCTAAAGTTAAATATTTGTGAAAGGTGCTTGAATTTGAATGAGGGGCTAAGGAATTACAAAGGACTCTGAAGACTTGGTGTGTGTGGGGGGGGGAGGGAAAAGGCTTAATTGATAAAAATCTAAAGTGAAAGACCAAACCCAAGACAACAGAGGAAAGGAAAACAACCTCAGCTAAAAGCTAGAGATGGAGCCAGCCATCTGCTTCGGGGCAAAGCTGAGCACCCGGCCAGATTGCAGAGACCTGGGGACAAGAGTCACTCCCCTACATCACCTGGAGGGAAAAGACGGTCCCCTGCGATCAGTAGAGGACCCAGTGCTCTCTTCCCCACTGGAATGGGCTGCTGTCTCCTCCTGGGTTGGGTTGGAGGGGCTGGGAAGGAACAAAATCACCAATAGCTAAAGAACCAAGAGGCTAATTGGATGCTGCAAAAACTAGCCATATTCCTTGCTACTCAGGAGGCTGACGTGTAAGATTGAGGTTCGAAGCCAGCCCCAATAGACAAATCCATTCATATCTCTAGTTAACCAGCAAAAAGATGGAAGTGGAGCTGTGGCTCGAGTGGTACAGTGCCAGCCTTGAGTGAAACAAATCTAAAATAGACTGAGGTAAAGCCCCAGGTTGGTGGCTAAAGAATCAAAAAATGTAATTGGGCCACCTGGTGCTTTCTTTTAGGCTTTTAACTCTAATGTTGGAATTTTAAGTCAAAGGTGAATCCAATCATCTCCAATCCACACTATTCCTCTCCCGGTCATAAGAACAACCTATTCCATTTTCCAGCTGTCCACAAAATCCTTTTACACCTAGTATCTGGTGCATCTGGACCCCCTCCCAGTGAGCCAGGAGAGGAAGAAACCACCCAGGCTGCTAGCACCCAGGAAAGAGCCTGAATATGGAGGGGGGTGGGGGTGGGGAGGGAGAGTGAAGTCCGGCCGAAACCTGTCGTTTCTGGCTCCGAAATGGCTCCATTTCCAGTCCTCATGTAGAATTTTGATAGTCTTTGTTATTGGTGGTGGTGGGACTTGAACCCAAGGTTTCAGACATGCTAAGCAAGTGCTCTAGCACGGAGCTAGCCCTCCTCCCAGCACCAAGTCCTCATTTTGGATTTATTTCCACTGTAGCAGGGAGTGGCTGCACCATTACAGCACTAGGGGCCGAGGGAAAGGGGGAAGTGGAGTCCTGAGGGCTTTCAGAGGAAGCTGAAGAGGAGGGGCCTGGCTGTGGGACCCTGAGGCCTCGCGGTGGGGGGGGGGAGGGCTGGAACCTCGGCCATCTCCACCCTCCCACTTCCTTAGAGCCGCTAACGGCCAAAGAACTTTCACTGCGCGGGTTCCACTTTCCTTTTTCTGAATATTTATTACTTTGGCTCGGATCAATCACCGCTGGGAATTGTTTCCTCCAAAAAAGAGAGCCCAAATTTCCTGCTTCTCGTTGGACCAGGCGGTGGGACTCTGGATTTAATTGCTCCTGGCGTTCACTTAAGCAAATCGTAGCCCCAGAGGGTACTTTGGACAAAGACTTGGGTGTGCAGGGCGATGGAAGACGGATCGCCCTCCCCAAACCCTCCCCACGCCCTGTCCCCCGCCTGGCCTCTGGACTGGCAGGCTCTCCCAAACCCCTCAATTTCCAGTAAGAATTCGGGACGGAATCCACGCCACGTGTGGCCGATCGTGAGGCGTGGAGGTGGGTGGCTGGTCCTGCCGGGGGTGTGGGGCGGAGCGGGAGCGAGAAACGCCACCTGGACTGGGGTTTGGTGTCATTGTTCAAAATGGGGACGGCGACGCGGAAGGAGGCTCGCGCCCCGGGCTCTGGGGAGCCCCTCACATGGGGGGTTCGCGACTCGGGGCTCAGGGAAGGGGGTGGGGTGCGCGCCCGGAAGCCTGTCCCGCCCTAGCGGCCCCGCATCGAGCTCCCAGAGTGTCAGATTTGAACGCCGCAGGCCGAGCGGGCCGGGCCGGAGTTCGTGGCCACCATTGGCTGCGGCGGCGGCGGCGTGACATCCGCGCGGGGGAGGGGGGGCAGGGGGCGGGGCCGGGCCGGGAAGGGGCGTGTCCAGGCGGCACCCCGAACCCGGAGACCGAGAGCGGGAGGGAAACAAACGCGGGCGCTGACATGGGCGGCCGGCCCCGCCAAGCCCACCGAGGGGAGCGCGCCGCCGCGCCCGCCGCGCGCTCGGGGAGCCGGAGACCCAGGTAGGCGCCGGCCGCCGCTGCCGCGCGTAAAGACGCGTGAGGCCGGGGAGGAGTGGGCGCGCCCGAGACCCCCTGGGCAGTGGATCGAATTCAAAGAGCCGAGGATGGGGGTGAGAGGGGCAGCGGGCCGAGGAGTAGGGCGCAGAGGCACCCCCACACACACACCCTGGGGCGCCCCGTCTCCCAGTGCTTCTCTGAGAGGAAACGGGGACCGGGGACGCCTGGAGGGGGGGCGCCTCGGGTACCCGGGATCCGGAGCCACACACCTTGTCCCAGAAAAAAGAGGGTGGCGGCCACCCAGGCGCAGAGTCGCCGGGACTCGATTTCCGTTCCCCAGCCTGGGATCCCTCGGGCTGGACGCGGGCGCCGTGTGGCTCGGGGTGGGGTGCAGGTTTTGACGGTCCTCCCCCCACCCCCAGCCCAGGAATGGGGTGTGAGCGGCTGTGGGCGGCCTCCCGAGGGGTGTGCGCGCGGAGTTTTCGGGAATAAGAGCCGAATGGTTCGCCTGTGGCGGCGGGAGCGGGTACTCTCGCTCGGTACCCGCCCTGCAGCACCCGCCGCCCGGGGTCACCGGCCGGCCGGCCGGCCCGGGGGAAAGAAGGGAAAGGCGCCTTGGGGACCGGAAGAGTATCCCCCCCCCCCTTGGGCCTCCCCGTCCGCCTCCCGGGGAAGACGCGGAGGCCGAGGCCCAGACTCCTCGCGTCGAGGTGCGGCTCCGCGGAGCTGGAGATCCCCCCACTCCACCCCTTGGAACTGGGGAGACCGCTGATGGCTTTGCCCCGCACCGGGGTCCTGGAGGGCATGCCCTGAGCCCCGCACGCGCGGCGGGGTCGCTGGCCCGGGAGCGATCGGTTAATGATTGAACCACCGGGCTGGCGACCTGGGCGCTGGGATCGTGGGCCCCGGCTCCTCCCTCCCCCGCCCCCCGCGGCGCCCCCCCCCCCGCTCTTTGGTTCGGCCTTGCCCCCGTTACCCGGGGTGGGAACCCCAGGAACTGCCCTGTCTGCTGGGGAGGGGATCCTGGTCGCTGCGGGTGAGTGCCTGGGCCTGGAAGGCTTCCTGGGAGAAGAGTTGTGTGTGTGTGTGTGTGTGTGTGTGTGTGTGTGTGTGAGAGAGAGAGAGAGAGAGAGAGAGAGAGAGGGGAGGAGGTGCCTCTGCTAACTCAAACCAGGTTCTTGTGTTTGCCCAATGCCATACGGCGGCCTGGGTTTTGGAAGTTTTTTTTTTCTCCCTGGGAAAATGAAGCGGGGTGTGGATACAATGCTGTCTTTTCTCCACGTCTGGGAACTTGTGTCCTACCTCCTTCACCCCCCCTCCCCCCATACAGCCCTCTAGAAATCTGACCAGCTCCCATGGCCCCAGGTGGGTCCACAGCCGCCACTGAGTAAGGAAGAGAGTCCTTGGGGGTGGCTTGACTGGGGAGCCCCCTTGCCCTCTCTAGAAGGGGTTGGGGAACTACATGGAGAATGTCCCCATCCTTAACGTCTCCCCCCCCCCCAGCAGCCATCTGGACCAGAGAAAGCCCCTATATACACATACACACCGAGTGTAAACACCCGAGGGGCCGCATGTAGGTAGGTGCCTCTCTGTCTTACAACTTCCCTGCAGTCTGCGTTTGTAATAACTCAACGGCAGCTCCCGCCCTCTTTCTGAGACAGGGCTGGAGGAGGGGACCACCAGCAGGATGGGCTGAATTTTAAGAGAACAAAGAACAGGGCACAAAGGAAAGGGGAGCTGAGCTGAGGCTCTCTCCCAGAATAGGGGTGTGTTGGAGCAGAGCCAGACCCTCTGCCAGCCCCCAGGAGCGTGTGAGGGACACCCCTCCCCCCAAGGCTATTTGGAGCTTCCACTAGGATCTTGTGAGGTGCCATCCCTGCTGGATATCTGGGACTCTGCCAAGAGTGGGTACCTTGTGAATAGCCCTCCGTCCTTCACCCACGTGACCGATTACTGTGGTTTATCTCTGAACTTGGACTTGGCCCCTCCCTTCAGGTAGTAGCTACTGCCTACTAGGAGAAACCCTGGCGATCAGGAGGGAGTCTTCCCAGGGGTCCTGGTGATCTGTGAGATTGCTGTGAGAAAGTAGAGATTTGAGGCGTCTCAACATTGAGTATCTTCTGGGGTTCACAGGGTTGGTGCTCAGGTCTTCCTGCTCACACTCTGAGCATTTCTTCTCTGCCTCTCCCCCCCCCCCCAGTGTCCTCCCTGCATCCCCCAGTGCCTGTCCCAGCCTGTTGTACACCCAGCCTGCATCTCTTGCCTCTTGGGACTGACAGGCCAGGCCTGGAACCAGGAAGCTGGAGAGTTATCTAGCTAGGAAGCCAGAGGTGAACTGGTCAGTGTTAATCTGGGAGCAGAATCCTAGATTCTTCTGTTCCAAGTCAGAGAGAAAGAGCCTTGGGTTGGGCTCGGGTTCAGGGGGGTGCCTTTCCCTTTGGATTGGCTGATTGATCTCCACTGCCAGGACTGGCTGTGCCCAGCTGGGGCAGGCAAGTTGGATGATGCTGACCTTTCCCTTTATCCCTGTCCCCAACCAACTTGGACCTTGATGGGAGTTTGGAAGGGTCTGAAGCTAGCATCCTGGATGGCAGTAGAGCAGGAACTGGAATCCTGTTGAGGAGCCTTGGAGGCACTTGTCCCAGTGGGGGAGGGGGAGTGTGTCCCTCAGTGGGGGGGGGTGAACGACAGGACAACGGGCTGATGCTGTTGATAAGGCTGGAGTGGAGAGCCAGGGTTGAGCAATCACACCCTGGGAACCCAGAGAGCTGACCTGAGCCACACTTAGTTAGGTCTTCTGCCCTGTGTACTGGAAGCTTTCTCTCGGCTTTGGGAAAAAGGGTCAAATCCTGGAGCCGGGAGAGGACTCCATGAAGTAATCCAGCAAAGGATCGAGATCACTAACCGCAGCAGGTAACCTCCAGAGTGCGCCTTAGAAGGCTGGGGTCCTCCTTCTTTGAGAGGGACTTGGACAGTGGTTCTGGAAGGGACTGGCGAGCTGACTGTGTGTAGGCCTGTGTGCCCTGTCCACTGTGGAGGAAATACAGCCACTTGCTTCCTACATGCCCCTGAGCCCCAGCTTACAGCCACCTCCTGGAGGACTCTTGGGCTTCTTGCCAGCTGGCAGTCATTAGAGTCCCCCCCTCCGCCCCCCGCACTGCCAGCATGTTGCTCCGGCCCCATGCCAGAGTGGCAGCATTGGCATCTAGAGCCTTCCTTTGCTTGGAACAGGACTCTGCCTGCCAGCCTGAAGAATGAGCTCCCTTTTGGGGCTCAAGTGAAATGGTTTGGCGGGTATGGTGAATGTATACACCTGATGTTTCTCCCTTGCTCATTTTTGTCAGGGCTCAGGGTGTCTGCAAGGCCACAGTCTTGAGCCAGAGTGACTCTTGGTCATCCTGGGGCTCAGTCACTGGGGTGACCCATAAGGCCAGCGGGAGTGGCCTCCAGCTCCCTGTGGTCTCTGCCTTCTCTCTTCATAGGTGTCCTGCAGTAACTGGATTTGGTCTGGAGTGAGGTGCAAAATGTCCCACTTGTGACAAGGAAGCCAGCTTTGTTGTCCCAGCTTCTCTTCCTCCTCTGCCCTTCAGGCTTCTGCCTCAGGCTCTGCTCCTGTAACCCTCTCCTTTCCTGACTGTGTTGCTTGCCTCTGGCTCTGGAGCACCCAAATCTCCATAGGGAAGTTGACAACTTTGTCCAATGAGGGAAGAGCCTGAGAGAGTCCAAAGGTGCTTAGCAGCCTGGGGTGCCCTGAGTAGAGTCCTCTCTGGACTAACTTGGTAGATGGTCACTGAAATTGAGTGCTTTGTTTGTAAGGGGGAGGGGAGCACCCTGGGTCTCTCAGATTCCTGAGTTATCTCTTTACCTTTATCTTCTCTTATCAAACAGAATCTATAGGAGCTTAAGTCCTGCCTGCTAAGAGGCCAGGCTTTTCCCTCCTGCATCAGGGTCAAAGGGTAAAGAGCACAGGAGAAACTTGCCTGGTGATTCACACTCCTAATCCTCGCCACTCTGGAGGCTGAGATGTGAGGGTGGTTGTTTGAAGCCAGCCCCAGGCAGGAGACTAAGACTCATCTCCAATTAACTACCCAAAGGCCAGAAGTGGAGGTGTGACTCAAGCGGTAGATCCTTGAGTTCAAGCCCAGGTGGTACCTGCACAAACAAAGGGAGGCCAGGGGAAGTAGCAAGTCCCAGGGCTGGTGGAAGAGAAAATGGACTCTATACCTGGGCTTGTATGGTTTGGAGGTCCTGGGACCCCTAGGACTTGGAAAGGACTTAGACCACATTCTACTCTGGAGTCTTTGGGATTAGGGGTGTGTGTGTGTGTGTGTGTGTGCCTGCCCGTGTGCGCGCGCGTGCTCACTCACTGTGATGGATCCTGTTAGAGCTTAGCAGAGTGACAGTAGCCATAGTGACTCTGGGTGTTTATGCTTGAAATCTCCACACCTGCTTGCCCAGAGTCCCAGCATGAGGGTATAGCACACAGGCAGTGGACACTTCTGCCCGTGTAGGGCTTCATATCTGTTGGTTTACTTAATCCTTCTAGATTATCAGTTGCTTTGAAAGCTTTGAGGAAACCAAGGCTGAAGTTATGTAGGCCAGTGCTGCAAGCCAGCTAGCTTGTCACCTGGGGGTCCTGCCTCTGACACTTAAGCTCCTACAGGGTCAGGATGGAAGATCTTGCTCTGTCCCCTGGGGAAGGAGCCAGCCCTCCCACCCCCAGACTCCCTCTGGAAACCCTGGAGTTATCCTAGATCCTCCTCTTCCAGGCTGGGTGCTGGTTCCTAAGAGAAGCAAAGTGAAACCAAACCGGCCTGACGGATCTGGTTACAAGTGCAGCGGCTTCCTTCTGAGACCAGCCAAGGAGCCTGGCTGTCCAGCCCAGGGCAACCTGTCCTGCAAGGGGACAATCTGGCCCACAGCCAGGCAGCACCCTTCCTCTGTTTCCTGCTTGTGGCTGTGGCATGCTCTGAGAAGCACACGTTTCCAGGAAGGACCCTGTA